AATAATAATAATAATAATAATAATAATAATAATTCGTTTTTAAATGTTTTGTATGTGGTATATATTCGAATACATTTACAGTATTCACTGTGTGTACTTTACAGGGTGCAAACGTAGTAAATTTACCAGATAGTGAATCTGTGTACTTCAGTTGCCAGATCAAACTCTGCCTGAAAAGTGGTGATTATTGCTCTCAAATCACAGTAAGTAATTGAAGAATAGATAAATGATAGTGACAATTTTTAGTTTGGCTTTGTAAAGCCATGATTTTTTGCTCAGAAAGAAACCTAAACAGCTGTCTATGTTTTGCAGCCTCCTAGATGTGGCTACAACGATGCAATCCATGGAGAAACAATAGAGGAAGTTTTAGACTCAGATCAACTGATTGCAACAACCGCAGCGTTGCCAACGACTTCTGCAGAAGTCAATTATACGACAATGGAACTGCCGTCGATAATTTCACTCATTAGAAATATATCGGAAGGTATAAGTAACAACGAAACGGCAAAATTCTTAGCAACACCAGACTCTATTTTGGAGTACATTGTAAGAGATATGGACGAAAATGTGCATAAAGACAATTTTTCAGACACCGTTGAAGGTTCTGAGTTTATATAGTTTTTTTCGTTTTTTACAATAATATAGGCTAAATACCAATCAGTACATTCTAATTAGTTTAAAATTTAGGTTCTGGAGATGAAGTTGTCACTATAAAACCTATAACCAACCCAAAAGCACTTCTACGATTCAAGAAGTCTATGAAAGCCTCAAACGACGAAATAGTTGATGTAGATGTTTCAACACCGGAGCTAAGAATAATTGAAAACGAATTTGGCAAGTTTTTCAAAACGGTTCAGGAATTATCAAAATAGATCATTAACATCTAATAACAACAATTATCAAACATGTTCAGGGTTCCCAGATTTTAATGCACAACAGTCGTTAATACAGTCGAAGGATGCTGTCTGTTTACCACTTTTGGGCATATGGTTTTTAACAATCGTAACAATTGTTGCGCTTACAGCAGCCATAATTGCCGTCTACCGATCGAGATATACGCGACAAAAGCTTTCACTGGTTTACTGATAACATTTTGACGCCACGTTTTATTCAGTTGTTCAAAATTTAAACTTGTCGCTTTTAAGCGAATTGCACTTGAGTTTTAGGCCTCTCACGATAGCCTACAGTAACTGCTACTGTTCTTATTGAAACGTATTTCTATACTGAAAAATGGCTTTAATTAATAGGAATTTAGTTGCTTAATTCAAAATGATCTTTCTGCAACCTTAATCAACATTACGACTTTTGGTGCTGTTGTAATAATAATACGAATGTGAATGTACAATACGTGTAGTTTGTTTTAGATGTTCGCTCTATTGTTTTGCTCTTGTCAGCCTTTGTTACAATTCTTCTTGGTTGTCGTTGTTGTTTTGCCAATTCTTGGTGTTGTTTTGTTTTTTTTTTTTTTGTTTCTTTAAACTGCGAAAGTTTTTCATTTTTTATTTTGTTTTTTTTTCTAATATTTCTTTTTTTTTTTGCTGGCTTCTAACAGACTGCTGCAACATCAACTTTCCTTGACGATTTGTTCTTCATCTGAACTGTCTCAACAAAAATCGTCGACGGTTTGTAGGTGTTGATGACAGTTTTGAGGACAACTCTGGAATAATAATTGTAAAGTGCCTGTGCTCGAATTGCGCACATATAAGTAAGAAGTCATTATCATCGTTCTATCATTAATTTTACTAATTTTTTTTCACTTATTATTTTTGTCCTAAACTTTTTTAATGATCCTGTTGCAAATTCTCTATTTTAGTTAAATTGCTAAATACATTTTGGAAAACATTTCGAGAAGAAAAAGATAAAACCAAATAAATTATTACAAAATTGATAGCAGGCATCAGTAAAATCTTACAGTGGGTAAAAAATTATCTAAGAGGAAAAATTAAGAATGGATAATATCTGTAAAGAATGAAATTTGAACCATGCCAAAAACCACACTGCTCTCAAAGCTGAAACACTAATTTCTTTACAGAATCTAATGTTTCTGTGCAAATTCGTTTTATTAGTAAATGAAAATTACCTGGGATACAAAGCAACAGTGGCAGACAGCAATAAAGCGAGCCAAAATTGTAAGGTTACAACTGCATGTACGGCAACGTCAGCCGGTATGTCTTTGTAATTCCAAACGGGTTGTATTATGGCACCTTCCAAGAAGAAGAAGATGAAGTGCACAAATATAAAGAATCCGTAAACAACGCAAATTGGAACCGTCTAAAAGAAATAGTCAGTGTAGGATACTGGATAAATTGTTCTTTTGTGGCCAAAAAAAAAGCTAAGATGTGGAACAGCCAAAACATCGACAAAAAGGTTGACAAAAGATATTATACTTTTGCTAGTTAAAAAAAGTGCTGCAATTCTGTGCTTAAACCGTTAATTTGCTTCTCAGTAAGGAAGTGTTCAAAGGAATTTTTGGAAGTAACACTTTTTAAAGTACGATTTACGGTCAACAAGCTGTTTGAATCCTTCATCATAATGACGTATGATTGTTCCGATGTTTACAAAATTACCAAAACACCACGTTGTTAAATAGTTCAGATTAATTTTTAAAGAAAAGTAGGAACTGTCCATAATGCATCTTTTTATTTCTTTAAGTAAACTAAAAAATTAAACAAATAATATGAATAACCACATTATTTGTGGCATTATTAACACATTTTGCATAACTAAACTAACACACTTAAAAGTTTGTCGCAATGAAGGACAAATTTGAGGTTATATCCTAACAAATGAAAAACGAAAAAACACTTGAAGACCAGAAGAAAAGAAGATTTAAATTACAAAACATGGGTAAATGAACACTTTTGTCGAAATTCTCAAAAATAGATATCAGTCTTTAGTAAAGTAGCTGTTCAAAATTTTTTTGAGAGTTGTAAAACACATCTGTTCAAATCGAACTAGGTTAGTGGATAAAACAAATTTTTTGGATTACAGTAAGCAACTGAAAACGCTTCTTACCCAGCAGTGTGTTTCCATTGCCAAATGAATAATTTGTACAAAAAACACCGATGTGAGAAGCAGAAACCCGAATGAGTAATAACCAGTCTCAGTATTCCAGTAGGTCTAAAAAAAGTTTATTGAGCATGAGGAGACTAGTCTGAAAATTGCCATAATTATAGCAAAAAAAAAAATCAAAATTTAACATAGATGATACACACGATTTGGATAGCTGAAAACAGTGAATTAGAATAATACAATACAATCAGAAAGTGGACTTAAACATACCCACTGAGCAATAAAGTAAACAGCAGCGCTTTGCCATATACCATCAGCAACACTCAGCCAAAAATGTCGTGCCCCGTAAAGCTAGAGATAGTTAACAAATCAAAAGTTTAAAATCTTAAGTATTTCAAAGTATTTCTTAATAAGAAAGCATAGTGATACAGTCAAAAAAATTACCTTTCCTTCGCGTGTGATCTCATATAAGTGAGGAGCATTGAGTAAAACTTCTTTACTAGCTACTTGATCATAGATGCCAAAAATTAAAGGTTGTGCGCTAAAATCTAAGTCGTTTGTAATGTGATTTATTAAAGCTAGAAAAAATTCATTGGATAAAACAAACCCTGTAAAAACTATCGGGTAAATCATTGAATAAACTAAATCAAACGGTGTTTCGCCAGAAAACCCATTATATAATTGACACCAAAACATTACAAATACATACATCTAAAATTGACTTAATATCTTTTAATTGTTTCTTAATAAAGAAGTATCTTTAAAGCCAAGTCAAAAAAATTGAAAATAAGGTCTACATTTGCTTTTTCACTTTGTAATCTTCATGTTTAAAACATTTGTTTAACTAGCATACAAAGAGTGTAGCATATTAAAAAAATTCTGCGAGATCAAAGTAACCGATAACGACCAAAAAAAAAAAAAAACAGATAGACAAACCACGTTTTTATACAGAAAATATAATAATGTATTAGCTATTCTGCTGTAGGACCAGTGACCATGTACAAGCAACAATTTTTCAAGATATCTGAACCGTGAAAGAGCGAAATCTGATGCCATAACAGCCTAAATTTGAAAGTAACACAGAGTTGAGAAAGTTGGCCGTTACAACATGCCAACAAAACACCAACAAAGTCGCTATTAATATTATTTTTGAAAAATTATTTGAAGCGTTGATCGCAACATTATTTTATTCAATTTTTAAAGAAAGAAAAAAAAGCTTGAAAAATTTGCTCAGACTAAGCCTACAATAAAGGACTACTCTTCGATTTTTAACCAAATTGTTTTTTCTCCATCAGTGTTCATCAGCACTAAAAATAGTGTTTGGGTTACTACGCGGCTCCTTAGGTAAGGCAGAAAAGTGTGTTTTAAATTTTTCGAGCAAATTATATATAAAATCATGAAAAGACATATTTACTTGCATTCCTTCTTGGCCAGCGATGCCAATACCAACATCAGCTTTTTGAATCATAGGCACATCATTTGCGCCATCTCCGATTGCCAAAACTTTACCCCTCAAACATTTCATCGCAAATTCTACTACCTCGGCTTTATTTGATGGTGTCATCCTACAGCACAGAACTGCAGTACTTCTAAAATATGGCATTATCAAGGCAATTAGACGGTAATATTACTAAGCAAACCAACAAAAGAAATTTTTAAATGTAAACCTTAAAGTACCAGATCATGTTTCGTGTTGATTTAACAAAGTCAAATAAGGTAAAATAAAAACCTACTGCTCAATCAAAAACAGTAGCTGCGAAGGCAATTCAGAAACGCGTGAAAAAAATAAGTAACATCGACGCTTCTTCCTTTTGGGCATCAGATCCTTGATCAGCGTCAATGACTTAGCTGTTAAAACAAGGCATGAGGGTCGAATTGACTGACGCTGCATCACAGTTTCGTATGCTATTTGAACATCTTCTTTTTCCTCAATTACATGAATGTCGCAGTTATTAGGAAATAGGCCGCAAGACCGAGCTATGTTCTTAGCTGTTGCCATTTTATCGCCAGTCAGAAGCCAAAATTGTATACCTGCTTCTTGCAAATGTTTTATAGCATCTTTGACACCGTGCTGAATATTGAAGCATTTTCATAGCTGTGTTATTTTGATAGTGAATTAAACATATGTAAGGAATTCGATAAACTGTACCTGAAGCCGATCTTCAATAGCGGTTACACCAAGAAGCGTTAAGTCAGACTCAACTAATTTGAAAGAATTTTGTAGCTTCTCCTCTCGACCAGCTAGACCAGCGTCGCTCTCCAACTGAAAAAAATCATAAAATAAATAAACAGATATGTAAATAACTAACTGAATAAAAAAATAACCAAATAAGTAGCTAAGTAAGTATATAAATAAGCATATAAACAAGCAAGTATATCATTTTTTACAACAAATTTATCATTTTGAAAAAGCTTATAGAGTTTATAGTCTAAGAAAGCCTAAGAAAACTCGAGAGGTTGACGGTAGAAAGTTCGTGATTCAACGCGAAATAGCTCACATAGACTTCTCGTAAATTGACATAAAAGCAACATAAAATTGATCTTAAATATATATATCTATTCATCTACCTGCGTCGCACTGAGAGAATGAAACCGAAAAAGATACCTCAGAATGTAGCACTGACCATTCATCAAACTCCTTTGGAGTTAATATTCTCTTTGCGAGGCAGAGAGTTCTTAAACCAAAGCTACTGAAAACCTCCAGTTGTTGTTTTGTGTTCTTCCACATCAGGCAACCTTCTGCAGACTGCAGAAATGCTGGTGAGAGCGAATCATAAATTTCAGAATCTGCACCTTTACAGTAAACCACAATTTCATTTTTAAGCCGAACAATGATAGACATTTTTTTTCTGAAATTACTAGGTTTATTCCCAATTAAAATTTTTTTGACTTTTGTTTCTGAATTCAAATAGATCTACCTTTTTGAATCAAAAGGAAGAACTTTGAGAATATGAACATTCAATAAGTCTTGTGTTGGAGTCACCAAAGTTATCAACTCGGTAGTTCTTCTACACATCTTTAATCCATATTTTCGAGCAGCAAAAACTAGTGCTAATTCGTCTGGACTTTCGGCCTCATAAACGGCTGGCATATTGGCAAATGTTGAATTTTTCTTCTCGAAATCTTTCCTTCTTTTAGAAATTAGTCTGTAAATATCGGTGATTGTCACAAATAACAATAATGCTAACGTTACTTTTAAAACTTTCAGATAAAAATATTTTTTCATGAAACTTATATTTGTGTAATAACAAAAAATACAATTTTTATTGCACGTGATCTAAGGATTAGTAAATATGTGTGTGTTTACAACAGTTATCCAGTTACTGACATTAAGTTTAACCACAAATTAATGATTCTGAGCATACCTTTTTGTAAAGCTACCTAGTGACGACAATTTCCTAAGTGGAGTTGACAAAGATTGAGAAACCAAATTTTTCTCTAGTGGTTCTCGAGAACGGTTTTCTGTACATTTGTCATTTCGATCAGATTCGTATTCTTCTTCTCTTTAATAAAAGAAAAATTGTGCAAACCTAAATAGATGATATAAACCTGAGGTTTTAATTCTCTAAGATCTTAGAACTCACCGTTCTTCTGTAATATCGTCTAACCTTGCTGAAGGACCAGTAAACGAACTATTCTAAAATAAAAATTTGCCTTGAGATTTGAGAGTGTTTAACAAAACATTAAAAAGTGAAACATTTTTAAGCTATGATTTTAAAAAATTACCAACAAAGGATGGGGAATTCCCGTTCCATACGCATTTTGACTGGAGATGTCATTAGTTACAGATTCGGCTAGTGCAGTACCGATAGAATCCATACGACGGTGCTTGTTAACAACAACGGTATTGCAGATCGCCATATTTAAGAAGAAGTCAAAAAGCATCTAAAGCTAATTAGACAGCTAAATAAATGCATTCAAACTCTTTATTTAACTTTCTCAATTGCATTAGAAACTTTTTAAAAATAGCAATTTGCACAAAATGCACCTGATTTGAGTTGAATTCGTCCTCTAGAGTATTAGCCAAATTTTGACTAATTACAACGTTGTCAGCTTTTACTTCATCCTGTGACAAGTCGTATGGAATGTCTTGGCAGTACTCAACACCAGCTATACTGCAACGGCGAAATACCATTACATTTTCTAAAACAGTACCATTATTTTCGCACGCAGTACTAGAATTTTATGAGCTGGCAGGAGATTTTAAAAGGCAGAAGCAAGACAAGTACGAGAGACTAATACATACTATGTAAAAATTTTAAAAAATTTAGAGCCGCAAAACTTTCATTTAAAAAGTTAACCAAAAACTACACAATACCTGTCAGAGTTCCTGTTTTGTCCGACATTATATACTGAATTTGTCCAAGTTCTTCAGGAATATTGAATGATTTGTATTCCATCGCAGTATCGGATTTCTCATCGTACATCTCAAGGTCGCAATGAAAAAAAAACAGCTGCCCCAATTTTACTACTTCTATAGATATATAGAGAGCCAATGGTATTAGCACCTGAAAACGCTGTTTAACATATTTTACCCAATTCTACTAGGACTCAAATTGCAAAAAATTCTTTCAATTGAAGAATTTGAAATGGTCGTGAATGCTGTGCAAGGAAGGTGATAGAGTTTATTTTACTCTACATAAAATGGTAATGTACTCTTTTTGTTTTTTTGAGACTGTTTTTTTGCCAGAATCTGCTACAGTATCTTGGAAACGTATAATTTAACCGTAAAAAACCACTTTTTAAGGAAAAATGTTTTTTATTGTTCTTATACTGAGTAAATGTGTAAACCTGATAGTTAAGGATGCTAGCTGCGAACATGATCAAGCCCTCAACTACTGGAGATGTGGAAACGCGGTTAATGTAAATAATATCATCCTCAAATTTAGAGTCAAATGACAAAAACCATAAAATTGATGCAATTCCACCAATTAGACACATCACAACGAGTATCACAACGCAGCATAATATAAATTTGTTCGTTGACACTTCCAGCGAGCTTCTTTTGTAACGCGGGCCACTATTGTTTCGTGCAGTTTTTGTGTCCTTACCTAAACTACTGATAAAAAAAAAAAGCTGTTTTATACTTCGCAATATAAGGAATAGAAAAAAGACTTTTCAGAAATATAGAAACTGAGAGTTTTAAAAGTTAGTATTCATAAACCATAAGAACTGTTCTCTACAAAGTGCTAATCACAAACTAGAAATGGCTACTATAAGAGCTACCGGTATACAAGACCAGTCCTTCAACAAATGTTGTATTTCGAATTCGACATCCTCGAAGGAGCATGTTTTCTGGGCAGATCACATCCAGCACACCGCTCTCATAGATGCTTGAATACCTTGATTTTTTTGCAAATTCAGGATCTGTGTCATAAACAATTCTACCAACCATTTGGTAAACTTCGTTGTTTGGATGTTCGCAACCTACTGTTGCTCGAAAATCGGTTGGTATAAAGTTGCTGTCTTTCTGAAAGCATAGGCAGCATTATTATGGTACTGAAAATTTAAACAATTCTGTTTTCAAAGCCAATTTTTGAAGTATTTTTAAAAAACTATATTTACAAAAAAGTTTCTTCAATTTAAAAAATATTTATGCGCAAATCATTTTGCAGAAAAAAACCTTCTAAAACGGAGTCTTTTACAGATACCACATCATAACCATATTTTCAGTAGTTCAAAGTCAATATTTTTTTCGCTATTTTTATTCTTAAAAAATAGTTCATCACTGTTAAAAAAATACAGCAACCGAAGTTCAAAACAACCCAAGTGTGAGCTTTATCTCAAACCCAGAAAACCTAGCCCACATTTCTATTTTTATTCTTCTGAACTATGCTCTCACAATACCAATATGAGTTATAAATTAGTGGCCTTTCACGCGATTACTCTGTAATACGTTGAAATAGCAATTGCGTTTACTGACCTGATGACCTAAATCTGTTATTTAACAGTAAGCTTTCTGTAGGGCAAGAAATAGCTGTCGTATCCGAAGTAACATTATAGAACAATAGAAGTTACTGATCTGTTATGTAAAGTGTACCGTTGCTAAAAAGAGGACAAAAGTTAGAAGCTTACAGCAGAGAAAGGAATTGCATGCCTTGGTACTCTTCGCTGTTTCAGACTAGTCTCACCATCAAGATTTGATGTTTCTACAAATGCAGTTCCACTTTCATCTGACGACCGTAACAGCAAAATATCTGCTGGAATTATTTCGTTGACCGACAGATGAACAAAGTCACCAACTTTTATGTTCTTCCACACAATTTTTCGAAATCTGTTATCGTTTCTGAATACAAATATTAGAAATTAATAAGAATTCCAGTATTCTGTTATTTTGAAACCATATCCGATCAGTAAGACTAATAATTTTGCAACTAAATTTTCTTCCTACTTCTAATTTGTTTTTAGTTTTTCATTTATCTTCATTTATGCCTCTAAGTAAGGCTGTTGCAGACTTTATAGTGCAGTACAGTATTTATCAAAAATGATTCCACTACACAGATATAGAAGTTAACCATCAACAAAATTTTTGCTGTACTAAGAATATAAACTGATAATTTTTAATATAAGCTAAGCTTTTTTAAAAGACAATTACTTTTTTAGAAGACAATGTATACAAACTTTATACTACTCCAAGTTTTTTGGCATTAATATAAATGGCTAAGTAAATCAGACTTTAGTGGCCTCAAAAAATCTAAAAATTTGACTAGATAAAAAAATTAATGACTACGAAGAGGAAAAAAAGTGTTGTTTACAGACCATAAAGACAGGTAGTCGATTTAAAACTGAAAAAATTTGAAAAAAAGCTTTAAAAACATATGCATTAAGAAACAGAAATCAACATGCTATCAATGTACTAATTGTGGTACTGAGTAATAGAATAGGAATGAGATTTCAACTATGAGCAAAATAAAATTTGTCGTTGACCACTTTGCCCCAAATTTATTGCTGTTTTAACTTGTTATTTGCAATTCAAATCAATGATATGATATAATTTTCTAAAAAAGTAGTACAAATTAAAAGAAAAAGAATTTATTTTTCTATCTTCTACTTTTTCAATCAATTTTTCTTTTCTGTACAGTTTACAAGTTTTTTTGTACAGCTAAAAAATGAATGTATACATAGTAAAAGCTAACCTGCTCCACACATGACAGAATCTACCATTAACTTCTTTATCTGAGTGACTTCTTCTGAGATCCTCTATCAGATCCTAAAGTTCAGGTTACTTTTTTCTCAACTTTAATAAAATTCAATAAAAAAAAATTCTGCATAAAACAATTGTTGTAGAAATTGTTAATAAAATAAATTAACTTGTACAGACTTATACTGAGCCTATATTCCTATATTCTATGTAATAAATTGGAAGATAAAGCTGTATTGCTTGTTTTAGCAAAGTTGACCTGACTTGTCACTCATTCTGTGATTCACCAATTATTTGGTTTTGTGAACTTTGAACGTTTTCATTAAAATAAGTGCAAAAAATTTTGTTTAGAATGTAGAACAGCAAAGAATTTTTGTTCAATTTTTCTAAAACTACAATCTAAAGATGGATAACAAAACATGAAATTTTGGTATTAGGATTGTAAAAGGTAGTCTGCTTTCTTAGCATAGTATAATAATGTGTAAATTTGAAAAAAATTATACTTCCAAAAATAACACTCGTAATACACTGTATAATATCTTTTATTTTGAAGTGACGTTTAATTGCAAGCTGATAAAACTGCTTTGTAGAATCATACTCTACAAGTTGGATAAGCCAAAAGTAACCCTTTTTTAAATATTTCAATAAAAGCATAACAAAATATTTGCTTCTTAAAAAAATCTTTCCTACTATGTTTTCTTATTGGCACCATAATTTACCAAATATACTGACCATACTCTAGTGTTTAGACTAGATCAAAAGTTAGCGTTTAATAAACGTCTAGCAAATATTTCGCCTATTTAGGCGACTCATTCTGAGTTAGTACTTTTGACTAAAGTTGCAGGCTATATCATGGCGAAGAAAATGTCTACCATACCTTAATAGCAGTTAAAAGTAAGACTATGGCTACAGGTATGATGCCGATATATTTGTTGTATACTCCAAACCAAGGAATCCAGTTCATACATACTATTATAACAAAATATGCATTAGCCAGCCGACGAAACTGTAATATCATCAGCTTACTAAACTAGATCTAGCTAAAAAAACTGATTTTTTCTCATAAGTAACATCAAAAATACTTCTATGCCAAACATTCGTAGCAAAGTAATTGACAGACTAAATTTATTAATCTATCTATAATTATCTAACTTTCTTTTTTTTTTTTCAAAACCATCTTCATACTTTTGCCATTACTATGCCTTTTATGCAATTAGGTATAGAATATTTTATGCTTTCTGAATTCCAAGTTACTTTTTTCTATTACGCACAGTCGCTAGTATCAGATTTGTCTAAATTATAAACAATTGGCTAAGAAACAGTTTAAAATGATGTAAAACCTGTAAACTTGAAAATTATGAACAAAAAAGAAAGCTAACAACTTGTTGGTTGGTTTTCTTTTAAATTTAATGACACTTAATCATGACCTTGTATAAACTTTCTTTAGGCTGCAGGACGTTAAAGCAGCATGCATACAGATATTTATGAGATTTTAAAATTACCTGTTCAAAGAGGTTTTTGGGTATAAAAGAGATGATACTGTATTTAGTTGTAGAAATCTTATTACTGCAGTAATATATGGCGTTGGGAAGTTCATAGTCACGAAGGCTTAGGCTTTCTAAGTAATTTGGTCGAATAGTGCGCTCTCTGAAACCATTCAGTGACAGTTGAAACTGGTTAGAACAACAGTACTAGCTAAAAAATTTGCAGTTAAAACAGTTAAGTATAAATGCTAATACATATGACAAACTTCGTTCACTGAGTATTAATTATCGAAGAGAGAATGACATTTGATGTAACTGTGACAGCAAAAAAAGTTACGATAGAAAAAAAGACCAATTTAACACGTATTCTTATTAAGTAACAAGAAATTTGACTTAAAAACAACCTAAAATTGACAGCCGTCGGTCTTTTTTTAAAAAAATTCCAAAAAAAAAAAAAAAAAAAAATAAAAAAAAAAACCCCAAAAAAAAAAAAAAAAAAAAAAAAACTAAAAAAAAAAAAAAAAAAAAAAAAAAAAAAAAAAAAGGGAAAAAAAAAAAAAAAAAAAAAAAAAAAAAAAAAAAAGGAACATTAATAAGTTTTCGCGAGCTGTACCGATCACCAAAAATAAATTACTTCGATTGTGCAACTTGATAGGCGGTGAACCGATGCAGTGGGGCAGTGGCGTTTGTCAATGTTGTGGCGGTTCGTTGAAGCAGTGGGGGTTGTTCTGGGTGAAAAACAGATGATAGTCTACGATGTTTTTGGTACTCTGCGCCATCATTTTGCTCCATTAAAGCTGACCCACCAGCAGAACCCGTAAAAGCTGAGGAGGTTGCAATGCCGCCTCACGGTCACCAAAATACTAAAAAGCATATATAAGTAGTAATTAATTTTCAATTAAAAGCACAAAAAAAAGATGCCACATTGAATTCCGTCATAACGATTGCTCTTTCTACAAAAAAAGAGAAGGATAAAGCGAAGTTCTTCCTGAGCGACGGTAATCACATGCATGTTTAACATACTTCTAAAGTTAGCCTACTTCAACCTGCTGGTCACTTTCTAAGTAAAAGTACGCAGACTGCGAAGTGAAAAGTTTTATCTTTGACGAAGAGAACGCAGCTTCGCTTAATATGAAGAAGGTAAGCTGTTATCATCTTCGATCATTAATGCTCTGTAAAAGAGTATGAATGATACGGTAACAGAGTTTGTTGCGATAGAACAGACTACAAAGTTTTTCTGGCTAAAATGTTTATCACTTTGTCCAGTCAAACCATATGCCGCAGCAAAAGGCTATAAATGGAATTGCGGACATCGTTTAGAGTATAAAAAATTTGAATGACTGTCAAGTAAGTGCCATGCTATGTTCCGCATTTGAAACAACAAATACGTCTTTTTGCATGAGTTTTATACCAAGACCAAATCTACAGTATCAGACATTAGAAAACAATATTCATTAGGTTCTCAGTACTACTGAGCAAATAAGTCATCGAGTAGTCCTCACTAAGCAATGAGGCAAAATCAGTCCAGCACTAATAAACTAAAGCAGATCAACGGTATGTTTCCACAGTTGTGATTTTTAAACTTATTATCTTAAAAAGGTGGTTTTACGCTGAGTAGAATTGTTTCTGTATATTAATAGATTCTCAACTTCTAAAACAGGTGAAACGCAGTCCTTTTGAAGCTTCTGCTTTTCCACAAATCCATATATTTGTATAACATCTCTTTCAAGTGTAGTGCAATATCACTGTTATTGCTGCAGTCAAGGGAAAATTCGATTGTGTTTAACTTCAGTTAGGAAATTTGCATCCATTTGCAACAGTTAGCACTGGGTCGTGATGACGTATTTGGTTTGGGTTCCAATAAATTATATATAGCATTAAACCATTATAAGCCGCTTCAACTCGTAGTAGAGATAGAGAGAGGTAGATCAGTCAAAGAAAGATAACAAGTAAAAGAATTTCGGAGACAATGATGTAGAATCACAGCCACAAAAAAGTTCTAAAACCAAATTTTTATGTTGGCGATAACTCATTTGAAATAGCCTAGTTAAAAATATCTTACTTATAGGGAACTATGGAAAAGAGTTAAGCAGTTAGTTTCACATTTTGTGATGTGGGACATCCAATTTCCGATAGAAAGTGACAATACTTGGTCAATTTTCAGTTACTACATGTGCCTGCAAGCTCGCTTGTCAAAACCGCGATTAAATAACCCATTTTCAGAAATAGCCGCTTACCAGAAGCAACACATGGTTTTTTCCTTTCTTTATAGTTGGCAACCTGAACTTATAAAACAGAAACTGGTTCCCGTGCTGATTTAAAACAGTGAGTTCACATAAGAAACTGACTTTTTAGACCTTGGCATAATACAAAAATCTGAACGCAGGCATGAGTAGAATTGTTTATGAGCCGGAAATCAAGACTGCACATATGAGGAGTTGAGGGATTGTCACCGCACCATCACATCTTAACACTTGACGACTCAAAGATATAAATTATAAATAAGTGGCATCAGCAGTGTTTCGCTGTCAAAGTTCGTTATCATGCTGTTATCTTCCCTTTTTAATGCCGTCGTTTCCTGTTTTGAGTTTGTCCTGTCGCTGTCAGCTACACTGTTTCAACAATCGACTTCCTGACCAAAAAGCGGCAAGCCGCAGCCGGTAATGTACAGGATCGTTGTCTTGTCAAGTCATTTTTTGATCATATTTTGGTACTTTTTCTCTAGAAGGTTGCATTAACGTCTATTTTTGGAGTTTTATTAAAATATTGGCCACAAACGTGTTAGAGGCGAAAGCAGAATAGAGAAGTAAATTTTTTTTAAATGTACACGGTACTATATGGTTAATAAAAAATATATCACATTTGCCTTATTTACGGATATTTACAAATTCTAAATAATAGTAGGTCTGTAAGTTTGTCTAACATATTTGTAGTGCCACCTTCCTCTAACGACACATTTGCTGGAGCAAGAAAAACTACTAATGCTTTAATGGAACTGAGGTTTTCAAGCCACAACACCTTCAGCGTTGATTCAGTTAAGGAGTTACATCATGTGACACTTTGATTCCACTTGAAAAAAAGAAAAAAAAAAGTAGAAAAACTAGACGGTTGATCTCATCTACAATAAGAAAAATTAAAATACATGATTATACAATTATATTATAAAGTGTTGTCATTTGGACTAAAATATTATTGAAAGAAAACTTCTAGCTTCTAAATGTTGATTATTTTTTCTTGAAACAGCTGATAAATGATTATTTTATAGTGCTTTTTATAGTGTTACCACTTTGCGTTGATCTAAGAAAAAAACTAGCACTTTGTTAAACCAGTACGTGTTATTGTTCAAGGCGTTTAGACAGAGTAAAGAAGACTGAAATATTTTTTGAATAAAAAGACAGAATATTTGAAATGAAATATTGTTGGCAATAAAGATGAATATAACTGTCTAACAAAGCTAATGCAAAGTTTGTAAACAACTGATCTTTTTTGAAAGATGTGTTTATGGTAAAGTAAACAGTTGAACAAAGCAGTAAAAATTAAAATTATTCTGTCATATGCTGTGATTTGAATGACGATATCATGTATCGTATTTCTGTCACACAGAGAGTTCTAATCTTAATCACGTGTATGCCAGAGAAACCACTGTGTAAAGATAATTTAGTTTCATAAATAATTTTTTCTATGGTATGCGGGTTTTTAAAAAAATTGTCGTACAGGAATATAATTTAGCAAAATGAAAATTAAGCTTTAAAAGATTCTAGCAATACGCATATATCAAAGAATTGTTGGGTGAAGACTGAGCTATTAGTAGAAGCAATACTGTTTCCTAAAACAATTTGTCATTTCCGGGTTTTGAGTACTATAAGAATAAAAAAAAAGAACTTCTAAAACGCTTAAAAATAGCTTAAAAGAACTGTTTATTTATGAGCTATAACTGTAAAATAGCGATGATACTGGCAAATTGTCGTCGTTTTTGCTTTACCAACTCATGCGTATTAATGCAAAATTTTTTTTTGTGTAATAGAAAGATGAAATTTGTTACACTTTTAGACAAGTCTCTCTAACTAAAAAATAAAACTTTTTATTGTTCAGAAACGTTCAAGTGTTTGTACATGAAACTTACTGTGTCAAATTGTATCAACTAGAATAAAAGCAAACAAAAAAAGTCTTTTCTTCCACTTAAAAGAAGACAATTCAAGTGAATTTTGATTTTTACTCAGATAGGTAAAAATAGCTAATATTACACCAAGTTTTGATGATGGTAGATAAAGTAAAGTCTAAAAAGAAAGAAGACAGTTTTTTTTCTTCTGAAGAAAGCTGTTCTATTTTTTTTTTCAGGCAAATTTTACCTTTCAAATTTTATTTTAATACAAATGAGCTAGTTACTGAGTAGAAAATCTATTTGACTGCAAATTAAAATTTTTTATATTTAATTTATAAACTTTTTTAAAATTTTTAATATTGTAGTTGCCAAATTTTTCTAAGAACAAAAAAATTTTAATTACTCTCATATGAGTTTAATAAAGCTACAAAC